CAACGTATGTTGCCAAACTTCCTTTCCAAGGCCCACACCAACTTCTTCCAGGGGTCCATGTTTCCCATAGAGATAGGATTGGGGTAAGAATGTCTTTGACTTCACTAAATAGTCCCTGAACTCTTACCTCATGTTGGCCCTGATCTTGCCTGAGAAGCTCTCTCCCTAAAGGAACTGGTGTTCTATGGCTAGGACAGCCTCACAGATAAGTTTGGGCACATCTGGGGCTCTACTCCACAAGGAGTGAGAGAACACTGGATAGAAAGTGAGCATAAATTGCCATCTTGGCAACAAAATTAAAGCCAGACTCTCTAAGGCGGGAACTGAAGGACAAATCTGTAGAAGGAAGGCCAGACCACGAGCAGACCCTGGGGGCCACAGGGTTGCCTTCTCTTTGGGTAACCAACCACTTACTGGTTTTCCTGCCACTGACATTCTGGCTTCATAGAGGCTCAGCTCAGACTTACTACTCTCTTAATTCCTTATAAGGCATCTGAGACAAGACTGGAAAGTTCAAACAGGACCTTAGCAAATGCTGGAGTAGAATATAAACTGGAAACAATATGGGTTATAAATAGGGCCACAAAGTTACAGAGATCACGCATCCAGAGAGGAGGTGAAACTTGCTTCAAGATCTCTGGAATCCACATGAAGTTTCTGCTGCCTGGGTTAAATCCAAAAGTTAAAAAAGAAACCCAGCAGAGAAACAGCAGAATGTGGTGGTTAAGGGACCAGACCCCAGAGCCAGATGGCCTGGGTTCATGCGCCAGCTCTGACAGCTGGGTGACCTTTGGCAAAGATCTAATCTCTGGCAGCCTCGGTTTCCCCATCTTAAAAACAAAGGTGTACTAGTGCCTACAGCACTAGTGTCAATTAGATTTAACCAATGTTGATATTTTGAAATATCTGGTTCAGAATTCTTTCTCTCTCTCAGAAATAAAGCACTGTAGACATAGTTACAGCTGTGTCCGTTCCTGAGAGCTCTGTCTGCTCCTGAGAGGAAAATTTAATAGGGTTGGTGACTGACTCCCATGTATATTGTACTTTCCTTTTTTTTTTTTTTTTAGTATTTTATTTATTTGAAAGAAAGAGAGAGCACGAGCCAGGTGGGGGGGTGCAGAGGGAGAGGGAGAAGCAAGCTCCCCGCTGAGCAGGGAGCCTGCTGTGGGGCTGGATCCCAGGATCCCGGGATCATGACCTGAGCCAAAGGCAGATGCCCAACCTACTGAGCCACCCAGGCTCCCCAATATATCCAATATATTATACTTTCCTATACAGATATGAAGCCAACAGAAATATGTCATATGGCTTTCTGTGTTTTAATTTTCATTAGGGGCATCATACTGTACATATACATCTCTTTCAGAGTTTCTTCTTAATGAACCCTAGGCTCCTTTACTTGTCTGGATATCTATTCCTGAAGTATTGCAAAGATAGGCATGAGGGAAGTGTATGGTAAATGACCAGGTCGGTGATTTACTGCAGACAAAAAAATCTTTTTTTTTTCATGATTTTTGTCCCCCCCCCCCCACAAGTACATTTTGAATGGCAGACACCTGGGATTAAGCTCTCATTGTCCATGTCTTTTGTCCACAGTCCAGGTGGATTTTGTGGGATGCCGTGCAACCCAGGACAGCCTAGAAGGGACCGATCTCATCCTTTTATCGAGAAGAAACAGGCCCAGGGAGGAGAAGTTTCTTGCTCAAGGTCATAAATCAGTCATTGGAGAGAGAGGAACACTCATCCAATCATTTATTAATTAACTTAACAAATATTTATCGAGTGTCACCTGCGTGCCAGGAACACAGGTACCTGGAAAGCCTCCGGGGGTCAAAAGAAGGGCATTCCTATCTTTTTGCACTTACATTCTAGTGGGCAGAAATACAGAGCAAACTAAAAATATAAATCACTTAATATCCACAGGGGTAAGTGCTATGGAGAAAAGTGGAAGGCGATCACATTTAGGGGTGGTGGGCCTGTAGGTGGGGCGGACAGGTTGCAGAATTAAATAATAAGGTCAAGGTAAACCTCACTAATGTGTGAGGGAAGTGAGGAAGAGAGAAGAATATTCCAGGCAGGAAGGACACCAGAGCAAAGGCCCTAAGGCAGGAGTTTGCTGGCAAGTTGTAGGGACAGCAAGGAGGCTATTGTGGCTAGAGTGGAATACCGGAGGGACTGAGTGAGTGAGGGACTAGGAGGAGAGGGGGCCAAAATGTCAGTGACGGCCATGTCGTGTAGGGCCTCACAGGCCATGAGGAAGATTCGGTTTTTATTTGAATGAAATGAGGAATCCTTATAGGGTTTACATAGAGCAGTGACTTGATCTCATTTAGGTTTTAGTATGATCACTTCGGCAGTTTTGTTGGGAAGAGACCGTGGTAGGGTAAAGCACAAGCTGGAGGTACTTGGGAGGCTGAGCTAGCAATTTAGGCCAGACATGAGGTAGCCTGTCCTGAGGATGAGCAAAGGAATGGTAAGAAGTGAGTGGGTACTGAGCCATTCCACCTACTGTTCCCTTTGCCTTGGGTGCTCTTCCCTGTATATCTGTTTTCTCATCTCATTCAGGTCTCTGCTCAAATAGCACTTGATTAGAGAGGCCTCCCTTGACCAACCTGTATAAAATATCAATATCATGCCTATATATACCCTTCATCCTATCCTTATACTGGTTTTTCTTCATAACATTTATCACCATCTGGCATATCTCTTTTTTCCCCTTAATTATCTCCCTCCCCTGACCAGAGGAAAAGCTCTATGATAGTAAAGACTTCGTCTACTTTGTTCACTGCTGTATTCCCAGTGCTCAGGAGAGTACCTGACCCATAGTAGCAGCTCAAAAGTGACGTGTTAAATGATGAATGAGTGGATCTCATTTTCTGTATTAGAGAGAGAGGCACCCCAACGGCTTTTTTTTTTTTTTTTAAAGATTCTATTTACCTACTCATTAGAGAGCAAGCGAGAGAGAAACAGCATGAGAGAGGAGAGGGCCAGAGGGAGAAGCAGGCCCCCCGCCGAGCCAGGAGCCCAATGTGGGACTCGATCCCAGGACCCTGGGATCATGACCCGAGCCGAAGGCAGTCGCTCAACCGACTGAGCCACCCAGGC